GCTGCTGAGAAAAATGTGTATTCTGATGTTGTGGGGTGGAACACTCTGTATACTTCTACTAGGTTCATTTGTTCACCGCTTTGGTTCAGATCTGTTGTTTCCTTGCTGATTTTTTGTCCAGTTGACCTGTCTCTTTGTGTCAATGGGGTGTTGAGGTCCCCTGTTAGAATATTGTTATTAATTATATGGGTCTTCACGCCTGTTAAGATTTGTCTTATATAATTTGTAGCTCCAACATTTGTTGCATACATGTTTATGATTGTTATCTCATTCTCTTGCTCTTTCCCCTAACTAGTAGGTAGTGACCTTCCTTGTCTCTTTTGATTATTTCCCATTTGAAGTTTACATTGTCTGCAAACACAATATCTATGCCTGCTTTTCTCTGGGTTCCGGTTGCATGGAGGATTATTTTCCATACTTGACTTCTAGTCTATGGATTTCCTTTTGAGTGAAATGTGTTTCGTGTATACAGCATATCATTGGATTTTCTTTTTTAATCCACTCTGGTAGTCTATTTGTTTTGACTGGAGAATTGAGGCCATTTACATTTATACTTATAACTAATATGTATTGATTTATCATTGTCATGTTATTTACTTTTTCTGCCTGTTTACTTGCTTGCTCTTCTTGACTTTTCATTTCTACTGTTGTTCTGAAATTGCAGTCAGATTTTTTTCTGTCTAGAGTATCTTTTAGTCGTCTTTGTAATGCTGGCTTGGCACTCATGAAGTTCTTCAATTGTTCTTTGTCAGGAAAATTGAATTGAATTTGAGGGATAGTTTGGCAGGGTACATCAGTCTTGGTTGGAAGCTATTCTGTCTCAGGACCTGTAATACTTCACTCCAAGCTCTTCTTGATTGGGTAGTTTGTGCTGAGAAGTCTGCTGTGATTCTGATAGGCTTTCCTTTATAGGTAATCTGTTTCTTTTCTCTAGCAGCTTTTAATATTCTGTTCTTTTGCTGGAGATCTAGGAACTTGACTATTCTATGTCTGGGTGTGATTTTATTTTGGTTGTGGTTGTTTGGAGTGCTAGATGCCTCATTTACCTGCATATCAGGTTCTGTTTTCATGCTTAAGAAATTTTCCGCTATTATTTCTGCAGATATTGTTTTTATGTCAGTTGTGTTGCCTTCTACTCTTTCATTGACTCTTATAATTCGTACATTATTCCTC